TCAACTTACGGGAGGACTTGCACCTCCAAGATTGCGCCCATGCTGGGCGCACCCACGAAAGCAAACAGACGAACGTCTGCTTGAAATTATTCAAGCAGAACTGCTATCAACTGATGCACAGAAAAAAATCACATCGCAAATTAAAGCAATTTTGACTGAGCGTGACTTATTACAGCGTCAACTCACTAGCTCCGCTCAAACTAAGCTGACCAAGATCAATACAGAGATTGAGCGTTTAGTAGATGCGATAGTGGCTGTAGGAATTTCGCCTACATTGCAATCCCGACTTCAAACAGCAGAAGTTCAAAAGGAAAAATTAATTGCCGAAAAAAGTTTACAAGAAATTGGAAAAGAAATATCGATAGCCCAAGCGACAAAGACAGCCAGACAAATAACGAGCAATTTACAGGAATCACTTGTTTCTGACCCCCAACAGTCAAGAAAAATTCTTAGTGAACTAATGGGAGATATATCGCTTACGGTCAAGAATGACGGCATTTATGCCGAGTATGAAAGCACTACTCAAAAAGTAGTACTGATTGCAGCCACTGGAGGGTCTACAAATAGGGTTGCGGGGGCAGGATTTGAACCTACGAACTCCGGGTTATGTGCCCGACGAGCAGCCAGACCGCTCCACCCCGCGTCCGTCACTGCGAAAGACGTAGTATAGCAAATGCATTAAATAATACAAGCTCAAATCTAGCTTAATTAGATAGGTAGTCTGAATAGGGCTTAGATAAGTGTCATTTTTGTTAAAAAATTGGAGACTGGCCATTGCATATTGGGAGCTATGCCTTACCATTCTTTGTCATTACAGCAGGCTATAGAGTTCCTTAGAGAGGTGTTACATTAATCCCTATACCTATTTGGGCTCTATCTTTTTTGCTCGCTTTCTTACCTTTGCTCTCACACCATGAAAATTATCCACACCTTTGATGCGCTGCGTGCGCATTTGCATGCAGAGAAAAATACGGCTTTTGTGCCCACTATGGGTAATTTGCATCAGGGGCATGCTTCTTTGATGCAGGTGGCGCATGCGCATGGGAGTCCAGTAGTGGCTAGTATTTTTGTGAATCCACTGCAATTTGGGCCGCATGAAGATTTTGAGCGTTATCCGCGTACGCTAGAAGCGGATGTGGCAGTGTTAGAGCAAGAGAAGGTAGATGTTTTATTTGCACCTAATCAGGCTGAGCTTTATCCCCAAGCGCAGACTTGTCGCGTGTATCCCTCCCCGGCTATTAGCCATATTTTGGAAGGGGCACACCGTCCAGGTTTTTTTGAGGGTGTATGCACGGTTGTGTTGAAGCTATTTCATGGCGTGCAGCCTCGTGTGGCGGTATTTGGTAAAAAGGATTATCAGCAATTGCATGTGGTACGCGATATGGTCCATCAGCTTATGCTCCCGATTCATATTATTGGGGCTCATACGGCTCGCTCTGCATCTGGGCTGGCTTTATCTTCCAGAAATAGTTATCTAACACCTGAACAACAAGCGCGCGCTGCTACGCTTTTTGCTGCCCTGCTTAAAATTCGAGATGCTATGCATGTTGCACATCGCCGCGATTTCACGGTGCTGGAACAAGAGGCCTGTGCTTTTTTACGTGAACAGGGTTGGAAGCCGGACTATGTTGCTATTCGTGAGCGCAAGACTTTGCAAGAGCCTGTGCTCACCACTTCCTCAGAAACCACTACGGGTCATTCCGACTTGCCTGAACTCGTTATTCTGGCAGCCGCTACTTTAGGAAGCACACGTTTGTTAGATAACTTGGAATGTTGATCTACAAGCCTTTTTAAACCCGCCCCCATTATGAATGGTAGGTTGGGGTGACGAAGGAACCCCAACATGCAGACCGCTGCCCTCTAATTTATGACCTTTTGCAGTGTATAGGCAGGTTTTAGGAGGCTCTTGGTAGGATGTTGGGGTTCCTTCGTCACCCCAACCTACCGTGCTTTTTATTTCTCTATGTCTTCACCTTTTCCCACCTTTGCTTTGCTTGATGACTGTCATGCCACGGCAGCCGCACCTTTTAGCCGTTTGTATACGCATTATGTACATCAGCGCATCTGCATGGATGGTACGCAGTGGGAAGTGGTGTGCGAGGAGGTAGAAGAAGATTTACAGGCGGGATTGCATGCTGTAGTGCTTGCAGAATATGAATGGGGAGTGAAATTACATCTTCACGACCATGCAACCGACTTTGCGCCGCAAACGGCCTGTCGTTTTTTACTGTTTCGCGAATGTACCAAGCTCTCGCAGCAGCAGGTACTAGCATGGTTAGAGCAGGCAAGTGCTGCTGAAAATGGGGTGAGCAATATAGGCAAGCCTCCCATTTCAAGCATCACACGCCTACAAGCTAGTTGCACTGAAGCTGAATTTGTACGCGCATTCAATATGATTCAGGCTGCTTTGCAAGCGGGTGAGATGTATCAGATGAATTTCACCTATCGACTCTATTTTGATGTGCTCGGCTCCCCTTTTTCTCTATACCAACGTTTGCGCAAACGTCAGCCGACGGCTTATGGAGCTTTAATAGCGCTTCCCACGGGGGATTGGATTTTATCTTTTTCTCCCGAACTCTTTTTACAAAACCAAGGTGGCAAGCTCACAGCAAAACCGATGAAAGGGACTGCTGCACGTTCACCTGATGTATCGCACTGCAATGCGGCTGCCGACTTGGCAGCAAGTGTTAAAAATCGGGCTGAAAATGTGATGATTGTTGATTTGCTGCGCAATGATTTAAGTCAGATTGCACAGCAGGGTTCTGTGCAGGTGCCAGAGCTTTTTAAAGTAGAGCCCTATGGCACGGTTTGGCAAATGAGCTCAACGGTTCAAGCGCAGTTACAAGAAGGGTTAACGTTTGCACAAATTATGCGTGCGCTTTTTCCTTGTGGTTCTATCACAGGGGCACCTAAACATAGTTCGATGCAATGGATTCACCAACTTGAGAATACGCCTCGTGGACTCTATACCGGTGCTATTGGTTGGTTGGATGCATCGTCTCGCACAGGATTACACACTTCCTCAAGCGACAATAAGGGAGCATGTGGGGATTTTTGTCTATCTGTAGCAATACGCACCCTCACGCTTAAACCTGCTCAGGAACCTTCGCATTGGGCAGGTGTATTAGGGATAGGTGCGGGTATTGTGCTTGATAGCATTGCTTACGATGAATTTAAAGAATGTGGTTTAAAAGCCCGTTTTTTAACGCAGCTTGATTCTGGTTTTACGCTTATAGAAACGATGTACGCCACGCATGAGCAAGGTATACGCCATGCAAGGCGCCATGCAAGGCGTTTGCGACGTGCAGCCTATTATTTCGGTTTTTTATGGCAACCTCGCTCTATTTATAAGGAACTTCAGGCAATTATTGCTGCCCTCCCTCCAATGCAGCCTTTTAAAATAAGGCTAACACTAGATGCGATGGGTAAGTGCACGTTTTCTACCGAAGCGCTCCCTCCTCCCCTTACTCAAGCAGTCCCCGTACTACTCGCATCGAATTTAGGATTGGGCCCGGCTTTTGGAAATTCAGCAGAGTCTGTGCCGCCTCTTCCATCCGCCTCGATATCTGGCACAGCGCCAAGCCACCAGCAACCCATATGGCTGCAATACAAAACTAGCGTTCGACCAGATTACAACCAGGCATTACAGCTTGCAAAAGAGCATGGGGTATTTGATCTTTTATTTGTGAACAGGAATGGCGAGCTAACTGAAGGTGCGCGCACGAATCTCTTTTTAAAACTAAAAGGCCAATGGTATACCCCGCCTACTTCCAGTGGAGCGCTTCCTGGCGTAATGCGGGCTGTGTTGTTAGATGATCCAACTTTTCAAGCTACTGAGCGGATACTCACACCAAATGATTTATATCAGGCTGAGGCTATGCTTCTATGCAATGCATTGCATGGGCCTCTTGCTGCTTATTTGGAGAGATGTAGGTTGGTGGTGACGAAGGAACCCCAACATGCATACCACTGACTTTTGATCATCGCTTTTGATCTGTACATGCAGGTATTAAAAGGACAGCGGTCATCATGTTGGGGTTCGTGCCTCACCACCAACCTACGCCCTATGGCAAATTAATGGGTAGGGCAACATTCCCCAACATGCTTACAACACGTTATCTTGCTTTAATAAGCGTGTATGCAAATAGGCTTCAAACGCATCTTTAACATCCGGATGACGTAGGGCAAATTCAACTGTTGCTTTCAAATAGCCTAGTTTGCTGCCGCAGTCAAACCGGGTACCTTGGTAACGGCAGGCTAGCACTTGCTCTTCGCGCATTAAAGATTGGATAGCATCCGTTAGTTGAATTTCTCCTCCAATGCTGGGTTTTAAATGCCGAAGGTGGTCGAAAATACGGGGCTGAAAAATATAGCGCCCTACTACACCAAGATTGGAGGGTGCTTCCTCAGGAGTGGGTTTTTCCACAATCTGCGTTAGGCTAATAATGCCTTCATTCCATTCTTTGCCAGCTATTACACCGTAAAACGGTGCCTCTTCAGGGGAAATGGTTTCTACTCCCAACACCGAGTTGCGATAGTGCTTGAACACTTCGACCATCTGCTGCAAGACGGGAGGTGCGCCGTCTAGTAAATCATCTGCTAGAAGTACGGCAAAAGGTTCACCGCCAATGAGTTTCTCCGCACATAAAACCGCATGCCCTAAGCCCCGTGCTTCAGGTTGGCGCACGTAAAAGCAGTCCATATGGGGGGGCTTTATTTTGCGCACTTGCTCTAGCAAGCTGGCTTTATTATGTGCTTCGAGCTCCATTTCAAGCTCGTAGGATTTATCAAAATGATCTTCGATTGCACGCTTGCTGCGCCCCGTGACAAAAATCATAGTGGTTATTCCAGCTGCGAGGGCTTCTTCTACCGCTAGCTGAATGAGAGGAATATCTACCACTGGTAGCATTTCTTTTGGAATGGCTTTGGTTGCAGGCAGAAAACGCGTCCCTAGCCCGGCAACGGGGAAAACTGCTTTGGTGATGTTAGTGGTAGACATATAAGCTATGAGTAAAAAATCATGTGGTTGGTGGTGCGGCAGGGCAATTGCGCTATAAAAAGGTAGGGTTATAGCCGAAAAAATGTTAGGCGGGAGGCTTTTTGATCAAGATACTGCCCAACCTGCTCCCCTACTTTTGTGAGTTAGTCGATCCGCGGGGCGAGACCCGTAATAAACTGCATAAGCTTGAAGATACGTTGTGCGGGCGCTATGCGGGTATGAAGACTGGATGAGCATAGAAGATCCCAGAATCTTAGCTGCTTTTCTGATTCACCACGCACTGCGTGGTGAATGTCGTAGTACATCAAGTTTTGCCGCATCCATCTTATGGACAACGTATAGAAACGCTTTAGGCACGAGAGGCATATCTTCTGCTAAAGCCTCAATAGCATCCCTGCTAATGTGACTGACTCACAGACATCGTTTTAATTAATGATGGAATGGATAAAGAAATAGTGAAGTGCTTATATTGGATAAACTTATTTGAAGAAATAGGCTACGTTGGTAAATCACAAGGTTTCAGGCAATTCCATAATACGAAAAACAGGAGCATCTTCAATATGACTAGTTAAGGGATGTAAAATTCGATCACTAGAGCAAGTTCTAATGATAGTTATTTTATTTATTATCCCGATTCGTAAGAT